GATATAAGGCTGAACGTTCGAATAAATGAACTTTGATAAAATGAAAGGCAGATACCGATATAATTAAACTTAAAATTGTACGTAACACTACACTTAACAAGAACAAACAGTTTAAAATTATTTAAAAAATAGTTAAAGCTACATTCTGGTATAGTCTATACAATATGTCTCCTGTTTCCGACCAGGATGTAGTTTAGTGTAGTGTCATGTACAATTTTATGTTTAATTTTATATTTATGACATTCTGCGAGTGTTTAATAGCCCAAAATTGACGTAATGCCGCTGAAGATGCTCTAGGAAGCCAAAGCATTTGGACAAGATTTATTTATAAAACGGTGATCGATATCTGTCTTTCATTTTATTAAAGTTAAAAAATTTTAGAATATAAAATTACTGAAAAATCGCTGAAAACTTTTTTGTAATCAAAGGATTAAATCAAGGAGACAGGATGGTACCGACACTGTTCAACTTGTCTCCCGAATATGACATGTGATAAATGCCAGCCTGGAATGTGACAAATGCAGCGCCGCTGAACAAACAATTAACCACATATTCTTCGAGTGTCCAGCCGCCAAGTTCTTTGGCAGCCTTCAAGAAATCCACCAACTTATTCCCAACTCGACAAATTGGCTTCGAGGATGTAACCTTTGACTTTAATTTTAAAAATTTTAATTTTATATGTTCTGTGTCAGTGTTTACTTATTTACTTACTTATTTATTATTGTTATTGTCACTTTTTTCTTCCTTTTCTTTATGTAAAAACTGCAATGTGTAAAGTTCATACGAATATATATATATATATATATATATATATATATATATATATATATATATATATATATATATATATATATGCTTTAGCCTGGTTCCATCGCATTCTATGTTTAGTCTGTAATTTGCCTTATTGTTTTTTAGGTGGAAAGCTGTTACTTCAGTTTTCGATGGGTTTGGTTGTAGGCCCCATTTCTTAAAGTATCTGTTAACAGTGTTTAGATCTGCTTCTATGGTGGATTCGGTGATGTTTATGTCTTCTTCTTGGGCACCCAAAGCCATGTCATCGGCATAAATAAATTTGCGCGAGGTGGTAGTTGGTACATCTGACGTATAAATATTAAAAAGTAGAGGAGACATAACTGACCCTTGTGGCAAGCCGTTTTGCAGGTTTCTGAAGTTACTATTTTTCCCATTTAGGTGTACTTGGAAAAGTCTGTCACTTAGCATTTGGTTTAACAACCTGTTGAACGCACTGCACGGTTACATCTGGTATATTTTATATAAAAGGCCCCCTTTTCACACTGTGTCGTAGGCGCAGATCAAGTCTATAAATGCTGCTATTGTTTTCAGTTTCTTTTGGAATCCGTTCTTAATAAATGTTGTTAAGGAGAGGACTTGGTCGCCACAGCTTTTTCCGGGCATGAATCCAGCTTGTTCTTTAGGAATATTTGACTTTGTAAAGTAGAATAGTCTCGTTTGGATTATCCTCTCGAAAATCTTGTAGCAGACGCTTAAAAGAGCGATTGGTCTGTAGCTCTCAGGTAATGCAGGGTCTTTCCCAGGTTTAGATATTGCGATGATCTTACTTTTTTTGAAGGATTTTGGAAATATCTGCTTAGTTAGTATTTGATTGTAGAATTCAAGAAGCCACTTTCTGGCATTCGGACCAATGTGCTTTATAAATTCAGGATAAATGTTGTCAACTCCTGCGGCTTTACGACATTTCATTAATTTTAGAGCTTCCTCAAGTTCTTCTGGTTCGATGTGCTTTATTATCGGTAGGCTTTGTTGTTGAGCAAATTTGGCTTCTTTTAACTGAGATCGGACTTCTCTTTTATGATTTTTTTCTATTACTGGTTTTAAAAGGTTGGCTATGCGTTTGCCTATGTCTTCCGGTTTTGGGACTGTAGAGTTTTTTTGACATAGACTATAAAGTATGACATGTGATAAGACAGTTTAATATGGAAAGAGCTGATTTTCTAATAAATAAATAAATACAGATTGACGTCTATGCCGATAATATTACCATTATTTCTCTCAGAATTAAAGAGGCGCCAGAAATATATTTACAAAAGAAAACAAAAGAAAAATAGACCAGACTAGAAATGAATGTTCAAAAGACGGAAAAGCTAAAACAGGCAAGAGCTGAGAGAAATAGGTGCACAGTTTGGTCAATGATAGGATAATATTGAAACTTTAGAAAGTTTTGCATATCTGAGAGTTGCATTAACTAAAAATAGAACAGAAAAACCTTGGGATACAAAAGGAATTAGCAAAGGGAATCAAAACTTATGTTTCACTAGCCCATGTGTTCAGTACAAAAACCACACCAAAGGTCGAAAACCAGAGTCTATCAAATCATTATTAGACCAATAGTATATTAAGATCCTCAAAAAATCTCTCGAGTGTAAAACAGCTGGACTAAAGGTAAAAGGAGTTCCCATTAACAACATTAGATATACAGACAACAGTGTGAACTTAGCCAAAAATATTTCGATCTTCAGAAACTGGTGACCAGAATAGAGGAGTATGGGAAAAAGTACGGTCTAGCAATGAACGTCAAGAAGACAAAATTTATGCGAATATCGAAAACTTAAAGAAATAACGAGAATCTTCTAATAAACGGAACCAACGTTGAACAAGTGAACAAATATGCATATGGGAACCTCTATTTCACCGACCCTTTTAGCCAAGAAACCATTGACTGCAGAGCAGTACTACTCCAACAGCTAAGTCAAGCCAGACAGGAAAAGTGGATTGAGACCCTGGATAAAATGGACATGACACATAGTAGCAAAATAGCATGGAACCTTGTAAAAAAACTCAGCGGTGATCCAAAAGAACATAAACCACCTTGCAAGGTTACAGCAAACCAAGTCGCTACTCAACTCCTTACGAATGAAAGAACTACTAACCGATATAAGGACCCAAACACTAGGAGAAGATTGGATTCGGAGACAAACCACCTAGGAAGTCCTTTTACACTAAAAGAACTCCACGATGGTCTGAACAGGTTAAAAAACGGGAAAGCTGCAGGTGTGGATAATATATGCAGTGAACAAATAAAGCATTTAGGCCAAGGAGCAAAAAACTGGATCTTGCAATTTTATAACACGTGCTGTAAAACCTGCAAAATTCCAAAATCATCGAGAACCTCGAAATTGCCTTAAAAACAATGACAGCGTACTACCTGCAGAATTCTCTAAGACCCAATCCCTCTAAAACCCAAGTCTGCGCTTTCCACCTTCGGACAAAGAAAGCCAAGCGAAAACTCCAAATTCTGTGGAATGGTAATGCATTAGAACACACAAACCAACCTATATATATCTTGGAGTAACTCTGGACCGGTCCCTCACCTACAGACAACATTGCATAAAAACAAGAGGGAAAGTAACAACTAGGAACAGCATACTCAGAAAGCTAACGGGAAGTAAATGGGGCGCACGTCCTGGCGTTTTAAGAACAACGGCACAGGCACTGTGTTTTTTAACTGCTGAATATGCGTGCCCCGTTTGGAGCAGATCTGCCCACACCAAACAAGTTGATACTGCGCTAAATGAGACGTGCAGGATAGTAACGGGGTGCATGAAACCAACGCCACTTTCAAATCTATATAGAGCAGCGGGTTTTGCAGAACCCTCAACACGCAGAGGCGCTGCAGAACACACAGAGAAAATTAAACAGATCGCGGACGATCGGCATGCCCTATACAAAGCTGGAACACCACAAAAGCGACTAAAATCTAGGAAAAGCTTCCTTGGGTGCAGGATGAACCGCCTGAGTATTTTCCACTTCCCCAGGTTCAATGGACCGGCCAGACCCTAGACTTTAAAACGTGGAAAACCTCGAATAGGATAAGAACGGGGGTTGCTACAGTATAATCAAACATGGCAAAATGAGGAAAAATAGACCAAGATGATGTGAACTGTGACTGTGGAGAAATACAGAATATGGAACATCTTCTTACATGCAGAAACTGTCCTCATCGATGTACCCTTGAAGATTTGTGGCTCGTCAACAAAGATGGAACCGACGTAGCCCGATACTGGGCCGAAATTTTATGAATGACATGTCCGGACACGATAAAGTAAAGTATGGGAACAATGAATAACTCCACAAATGTTTACATTCAGGAGATCAAAATCAGAATGGAAAAGGTTAGCGCAAATTTTAAAGAAATGAGAAGAGTGCTATGTACTAAGAATTTAAAATTGAAACTAAGAGTTAGGTTGGCGATGTATCATGTTTTTTTCCACTTTATTTTATGGAATGGAATCCTGGACGTTGAGAGCGACATCACTGAAAAAACTAGAATCATTTGAGCTGTGAGTGTATAGAAGAATTCTGCATGAATAAATTTATGTAGGGAAAGATCCAAGGAAAGAGAAGCATAGGGAAGTGTAGGATGTTCTGGCTGCTCAACCTGAGAGAATGGTACGGATGTACATCAAATAAATTTTTCAGAGCAGCCGTCTCAAAAGTCTGAATACCTATGATGATTGCCGACCTCCGCCGCGGAAATGGCACTTGAAATAGAAGATATTATGAATGATGACAGAATCCACAAAAAGAAAGCTAGAATCATAAGGAAGATATTTGAACCTGTTTACGAAAACGAAGTATACAGATCCAGGTATGGCCACCAACTGTTCAAAGAGGCAATGGTTAAGGAGTGAGAATAAGGCTAAAAGACTTCTAAAAAGGGCCTAGATAGTAAACGGTAGGGCGCAAGGCCAAAAGAAAGGTCACGTAAAAGCTGGTAGGATGAAGTGCTAGCGGGCGCGAAAAATTAGCTAGATGTAAGAACCTAGAGAAGATCGGCAGGGGAACGACAGGGTTGGAGGCATAGTTTGGAGGAGGCTAAGGCTCGATTTGAGCTGCGGTGACATTATTGAGAGGGAGAATATTTAACTAAAAAACAGATTCAGAATTGGAACGTAAATCTTAGCAAAATAGAAAAAAACGTTATATCAAAATAATTTGTATATAAAATAAAAAACATATATAATACCTAAGAATTTTATTTTAAATAGTAAAAAATAACATTAAAACCAATCTCTTTTAGCACCTTCTTCACACATAAGAATAAGTTTTTTAAGTGCCATTGGAGGTACGTCTTCAACTTCCATAGGTGATCCTATCTTAAATATCTTCCCCTTTTCTCCAAAAATAACTGTGGGTATCATCATTAACGCCTGGAACATACCTTCTTGACAATTATTTGTAAAATCTTTCAAAAATTTTGTATAAGAATATTCGTCGCTATAAACATTTAGCTGTTTTAATATATTTACAAATTCCTCGTGGTAATATTTAAGTAAGTTGTCTACATTATTTTCAAGGCAGCTTAATTCAACACTGCTAAAAAGGAAGAGAATAAGGTCGATGGTTGGGGAATTTACTTCACACATTTGGAAGTCACAAAACTTATTTTTAATTGAAACTCCATTTACAACCTTTTGCATCGTATTATTAAGCCACATATCATGATGTATTATTGTCGAAAACGCTCCAATTGGTCTCTCATTTTTTTTATGCCCTGTCATTTTTTCTTTATGATATTCAGTCATTTTAACAAACTTGTCAGCTACATGTTTTTGGCTCTTATTTTCATTAAATATTTTTATTAATATGCCAAAAATATGTGGATCTGGTCTTTCTTTTCCTTTTTCGTCTTTAGGTGGTTTGTCTGGAAATGGAAGTTTTAAGTCTTTAGTTATATTTCCAAATTCTTCAGGTTCTAGTAGCCTCATTGCTAGTGGTACAGCATGGAACATTGCTAAATCTTTCAATATGAGTTTGGAGGTCTCTAAATCAAATCCAACATGCCTATCCAGATTTTTATAGCCTAAAAAATTTAAAAAACAAATTTAAATATTAAAAATGTTTAACTTTAGTACAAATTAGTGTTAAAAAATTACTATATTTGACAACAATCGGTTTTTGCAAATAATAAATATGATGAATTCGACCATTAGATTCTTATAAAGATAGCTTATACCTTTATTTTGGATGTGAAGAATTTAAAATTTATCGTTAAAAGAATGATTATTAAAATTCCTAGGAATGTCACAATTTCTCACTAGAGGCTTACGATTTTGTCTGGTAAAATATTTGGGTTATGTTGTTATTAAAAAAATTTTATTGATATTTTTTTTATTGATAATTATTATTATTAACATATTACTGATGTTAAAAAAAGCAGATGGCTTAAAACGCCAAAAGAAACAACAAAGACATTTGCAAACAACCTAAGAACTGTATTCTTCTTATTCTTATTCTTCAGCCTTCATTTATCCATTGTTGGACATAGGCCTCCTCCAATTGCTTTCACACTTCCCATCTTTTGCAATTATCATCCATTGCTTTTCAGCTGCAGCTGTTATATCGTCTATCCATCTCTTTTTGGGTCTTCCCACGCTGCTTTTTGTTTCTTGAGGTCTCCAGAATGTCACTTTATGAAACCATCTGTTGGTGTCTTGTCATGCTACATGTGCTCATTGCCATCTCAATGTCGCTATTTTTCCCACGATATCAGTTAATTTAGTTCTTCGACGTATTTTGGTGTTAGGAATTTTGTCTTGAGGAATGTTATATTTAACATGGCCCTCTCTATGGCCCTTTGAATTACTCTTAATTGTCCTGCCATTTTTCCTATTATTGCCATAGTTTCCAATCCATAAGTTGCAACTGGTAGTGTCATAAGTTTTTCGTTTTAAATGTATTGGTATTTTTCTGTCTTCTAAAATGAAGCTCAACTTACCAAAAGCAGCCTATGACAATTGTGTACTTTTAATTTCTAGGGTTTGATTTTCCTCTTCGTTTTTAATTGCATGTCCTAGATATAATATATATTGTTCTACCTTTTCTATATTAATGTATGTTATTTATCGTGATGTTTTCTAGGCCATTGCTTAATATCTTTGTTTTGTCGAGATTCATTTTTAATCCTATTTGATTCGATTTTTGATTTAAATCTTGTAGCATTGAATTTAGTTCATGGATATCTGTGCTTATTAGTACTATGCCGTCTGCGAAACGCAAATAGTTAAGACATACTTCATCTAGTTTTAATCCCTTTTCGGCCCAATTTAGGTTTTTAAAGACATTTTCTAATGCCAAAGTACTGTCTCACACCTGTCTCACACCTTTGCCAAGGTCTATTTTTATAGTTTTAAAAACCATCATCTATTTTTACATTGAAAAGTCCCAATCGTAGATATTCTTAAGGGGAGCAGCATATCTTCAATCTACTCTGGCGTCATCCAATGCTGTTAAGAAAGCTCATTTCTCGATACTGTCGAATGATTTGTGATAATCGACAACTGCCAGATGTAGGGGTATGTTTTACTCTGTTGTTTTTTCAATAAGTGTCCGAATTGCTTTTAAGTGATCGATAGTGCTAAAACCCTTACGAAAGCCTGCTTGCTCCACTGGTTGATATGCATCTAGCTTAGCTGTCAATCTTAGTCAAGCTTAGTCAAATTTGTTATTATTCGGGTTAGTAGTTTGTAAAGGTGTGACAATATGTTTATTGGTCGTTAGTTTTCTATATTTAAGGCGTCCCCTTTTTAATAAAGTAGAATAACTGCCGCATTTTTCCATGCTTTTGGTATTTGTCCTTCCAATAGGCATTTATTCAGTAATGAGTAAGCATATCTGAAGTAATTTTATGTTTTCCTGGTGTTTCTCTTTTTTCATTGGTTTTAGGGCGGCTCTAATTTCTGATGTTAATATTTCAGTGAGATCCTCTAAGCCCACATTTAAGATATAATTTGTTGGAATACCGGGGTTCGGAATAGTAAAAGTGTACAGCTTTTCATAAAATCTTCTGATTTTTCTAACGATCCCCACTGCCAGTGGATTTACATGTTTTTAGTAGTTTCATGTTCTTATTGTTCTATATGGTTTCAAGAATCTGGTTTGTTCTATAAGCTCTGAGGTCTTTTCGAATATTTTTCTTAACGTTTCTGTTGAGCGCTTTATAGTCCGGGTTATCTCTGTTAGTTCTTCTTCTTTGCTCTATCGTTCTAGAGTCTCCGGTTTTAGTTTAGCTTCTTTTTGTTTTCTTATTCTACAATAAAGTTTCTTAGTGACTGTTTGTATGTCTTTAGTTATTTTCTCAGCTAGTTTATCTATATTCGTGTGCTACAACGGAATTTGCTACTAGTTTTCGTGCTAATGTATACTCTAGTGTCCGACTTTCTAGTCGGAAACTAGATAGGTGAGTTTGCATGTTAAAAATCAACAAACGTTTTGATAAATTCGCAATTTGTTTTAGCATGGCTCTTACTTTAACAAAAGAAGTATTCCAATGCTATACCGGGTGGTGAATCGCCAAACGGACCATAGAAAATTCAATGAGATATTCTAAGTTGTTGAATTCCTGCTTCCCTAATTATTTTACATCAAAAGTCATAAGAAACTATTTATAGAGGACTAAAATATGTATTAAAAACAAATGTTAAAATTGTTCTACAAATTAAATGTATCCCAAAATTTGGAAAAATATAATACATTGTTCAGGCCACTCGGAGGTACAAAAATGTGTATGACATGTTGCTTTTGGTCATATTGATGATTCTAATATTTGACAATATTTGAATTGTCAATATTTTTATTTTGTGACTAAATTATACACAAATACTAAAATACGCAAATTTTTACAAATATTTTTACTAATAGTGCAGTGTCGTTTACAAAGCAATAAAATTAATGAAATGTATTCAGTTCATATGAACGGAATTTATTCCTTTTCAAAACTTTTAAGGTCGTATAATTATCAATATTTGGTCTGCATTGGTCTGAGAACTTATTCTAGGATTTTCTACAACTGCTGTTAATGCATTTATTTCATTTTGTTTTTCTAAATTTTTTGGTACCTCAGCAATTTTGTTTGTACAGGTACAATTAGAAATCACGGTCCCATTATTTTAAAAATTTTGTATAATCCTTTTAATTGTTGAATGACTTTGAATTGGTCTATTGGAATATCTTACGCTAAATAAAGAACTGACAATTCGCGCACTATTGCCTGCATAAAACATTTTTATTATTGCTAGTTTCTCCTCAAATCAATACATTTTTAATCAACTATTTATAGGTATTGTTTTTTAAACAATAACTAACAAAATCTAAATTTTGGAAATAAAAAAAAAAAAAAAAAAAATTGGAAATTAAAATATTGTCAAATATCAGAAACATAAATATGACCAAACTCAACATGTCATACACATTCTTGTACCTCGTATGGCCTGAATATAAGGGGGGCCTGAAAAATGTATATTTTTGCAAAATTTTTAAATACATTTAATTCGTAGAATAATTTTAACATTTGTTTTTAATGCATATTTCAGTCCCCTACAAATGGTTTCTTATGACTTTTGATGTAAAATAAATAGGGCAGCAGGAATTCAACAATTCAGAATTTTTCATTGAATTTCCTATGGCCCGTTTAACGATTTTGCCCGTGGCAAACAAATCGATACAGAGAAGTATACACTGAAAAATTTAATGAAAATCACATACTAATACAATTACTAAATTATACGCATTCATTGCGGCCAGTTTAAGGAATCACGGAAGAAAACTTCACTTAACGAAAATGTGGGCCGAAAATGACCTATTCAAACAATCATTGTTTACTGCTGTAATGTCTCGAAATAGATTCAAGCTGATCTACAGACACATAAGATTTGATGACCACTCCACAAGAATAAATAGAATAATAGAAACAAAAGATAAATTACAAGCAATTCGCAATACATACGTTCAACTTGTAAAAGATTGCATTGATATTTATTCAACTGGTACAAATATCACATTCGATGAGAGGTTATCATTAAGTATATGCAGAAAACTCTTTAGGATCATAAATCTAAAAGAAAGTAAAAGTTTTTTATGCCCTGTCTGTAAAAACAATGAATTTAAAGATTTTAGTTACAGGTAAGAATAAAAACAATGTATATTTGCTTATTATTAAAAACAAATTATTTTAGTTACTAGTGCTTCATTGTAGAACTTCCCAAACAATAATGTTTAAATTAAATGAATTATTAAAGTATTTCAGTGGGGTACCATAGTTACTCCGCACGGCCTGTAGCGTAAGTTTTTGTAGCACGGTTCCGGAAAGGTTAAGTCAATAGACTGGGAAAATAAAGGAATCCCTATAAACGGAAGATACTTAAACTGTCTTAGATACGCAGATGATTTAGTACTAATAGCCGACATGTGAAATGCACTGAATACGATGATTTAGGAGCTACATACAGAATCTCGAAAAAATGACTGAACATGAATTTCAGCAAATTAAACTTATGTCAAACAAAGGTGACAATGACCTATGATAAACATTCAGGCCACAAAGATAGAAGACGTAGAGGAATAGATATATATATATATATATATATATATATATATATATATATATATATATATCCGGTTTTTTAGGCATTACGCCCATCCGGTAGGGATCTATGGAGGAGTATCACCAAGCCGCAAGCCCTTATCTCTTGCCGTACTGCTTCACCATAGGCCGATCCGATCCCAGCATATCCTAGTCTAAGCCGCAGATTCATCTAGAATTTTAAACTGCTGCGTTAGACTTTTTGTTTTCTGTACACCGAGCTGGGGCTCGAACCCATATCCACTGAACCATTCGACAGTGAAGCGAATGAGAGGCAGCCGCACAGCCCGCTGAGCTATCTGACCGGAATAGATATATCTGTGTCAAAATGTTAAGGTCAGCAAAGAAAATCAGACTACCGAAATAAGCAGACTTTTAAAAATGGGATGTGAAGCATTCGGAAGACTCTCATACGTACTTAAAAATAAAAATATACCTTAAAA